ATCCCAGAAACTGAGAACAAAGGCCAAATTCTTTATTGTACAGTGGTCTGTAAGAAATCCCCTCATCCTTGTATTTGAATCAGGTAACCTGGTTCAGAACACCCGCAGGGTGCCATTCCAGAAAGAAATGCCTGGAAAGACTACATTTTAATGAGTTCTCCTGGCAATGTGGGTAGAGCACCAACTTTTTGTCGCCTTCTTGATACAGCCAGTGATGTAGCCACGCTGAACCTGCATGTCCACAAGACTAGCGTCCGCAGAAGCTCAGTAGTGGCTGCCCTCTTCAGGACAGGCTCCTGTGCTCCCTGGAGGCAGTATCAGCTGCCATTCATTGTCACACATGCACTGCTGTTTCCCTTATAATAGCCCAAGAAGAAACGTGTCATGCTTTTTCTTAGGTTTCATTCAAAAGTGAGGAGGAAAAGGTGGTCTGAGGAGGCCACATACTTTGAGAAGGGTGGGAAAAACATTTCTTGAGGATGTGAGACACAGCGAGCACGGAGTATCAATAGTCTCACTTGTTTATCTTTCCCATGTGCCCAGGACAAACACCTGCACTGCGTAGATATGGCAGATTCGCTGGCATGCGTGTCCTGGAATGTTGCATTTGGAGACAACAAAAGTAAATATCTTTTTCACACAGATTGTAATAGTCTATATCTTCATAAAAGCTGGATTCAGAAGGCACGTGTCTTCAAGTTCAAAGTTTTCTTCCCTTTTCCTTGGCTAAATGAGGAAAACAGAAGGGAAAAAAGGAAGCCTGGCAGAGGAATAGATTTCTGTGAGCACTGTGAGCTCAGGGAACCAGGTCCAGGCTCCTTGCTTCGGATCACAGTCTTGTTCCTTCCAGCCCTGAGTGGTGAGTCGGACGGACCCCACCTCATTACTGAGATCCCCTCAGCTAAGGTTACCATTTCTGGTCACAGTTTGATAGTCTATTAACCTTTACTTTTTCTAACTATCCTATAGCAGAAAATAAAAAAATGTCTGGAGGTCTGAAAACCAAGCCTGGCATTGTTGCTGCGAGGCTTTACCTAAGGGAAGGCTGCTCCATGGATCTTGGGTTTAGGGAGAGAAATGGCTATTTAAATGGGAAATAGTTGTTACCAAGGAATTATAAACAGAACCTGATATTTATGAACAGGAGCACACGGAACAAACCTGGGGGAATTGTCCTACATTTAACACCTCCTTGTGGTCGCTCGTCAGACAATCCTGCTCAGCCACAAGTTCTGTCCTCTGCTCATCACATCAGGGGCTTTGCCCCTGTCCTATCTGGATTGAGAAGAGAGTGGTTATTTACCTCCCACCCCACACACTTCCCAGGGTCAGATGTGCCCACAGCCAACAAATTGAGATCTGGTATTACGCTTCCAAGAAGCACACCAGATTAGCTATTCTCTTCTTTGGAGCAACAAGCTTAGTGGGGATCCGGGAGTCTCCACCTTGTCATTGGTGACCTCCAGGGGCCAGGAAGTGTGTTAATAAGACCACCCAAGGCAAATACTAAGATCAGTTTGTGTCTATCCCCGACTGACCAGCTACAGGCAGTGACAATGACTGTCCCCTTCCTTTCCTCTGCCATCAAGGCCCAGGGTCCCAGTGCCCTGCAGCAGAGGGTGCAGCCATGGACACTAACGCCCAGGACAGGAGGCCACTTGCAAGATGACCTGGCCAAGCAGGCCAGGTGAGCAAAGGGGTGGAGGAATGGCTTCTCCCATCCCTCATCCCTCCTCTATCAAGGGCCCAGGAGTAACGCTGGAGAAGAGGGGCCTGGGTATCAGAATTGCTCCCTAAGGAGCCCCTCCTTGTCAGCATTTCCCAAGCACTTAGCCCACACCAGACCCCAAAGATGGACATAAAGGGTCAAGATGCCAAAATTCCACGCTCTTTTCTTTCTCCTCCGAGTCCTCTGAACCCAGTGTGGGAACGGGGTCTTACTTACACATCTAGCGGCTTCCCACAGCTCTCTTCAGCTCCTGGCCTTGAACACATGCCCGCTGCCCTGTGCAGGCCAACTGAGCCTAGTTCTGAGAGACACAGCATTCACGTTCATTTGCCCTGGTTCTCCCAGCACTGCTGAGCCTCACTTTTCACTTTCAGGCTTTCAGTATTTTCCCGGGAATTTAAGAATCAGAATCTCCTCCATTTTTCTCCTAGCAATGCTGCTGTTAGCCATGTTGCTTTAAGTGAGAGTTGCCAAGGTGGATTTGGCCTGCGCATGTTTCCCTTTCTGGGCTCCCTCTGCCCTTTCTCTCCTAACTGTTCCGGGGTGGAGATCTGGGAGATGTCCCCATCCTGCCAGGATCTTAACAGTTCACGCTAAAGGGGCAGCTGTCTCCAGGTGCCTGTGGTCTGGGCGGACTACAACTTTGCATCCAGGGTCTCTGGGAAGTTACGTACCCCACACACGTATGTAAGCTTATATATTAGATGTGTCTTCCCCCTTCCTGATCAGCCAGACTAGAACCCTCATTCTGCAATAAAGGGCCCTGCATTAACCCTCTACTGCCTGCCATTTGGCCTTATTCAACTGCAAAGAGTCATCTAGAGATTCTTGTGGCATGGGTCTTAGGGAGCCCAGTTCTCTTTCCCCAGA